TTTCTACAGGAGATTCTCTGGTCTGGTCTGTGCAAAGGAGCGACATTGCTGCCAATATCCTAATGAAACGAAGAGTCCCACTGTTTTTCGAAGTCTGTGGTGCACATACAGTATCAGGACACTAATAATTTAAACACGTGCACTTGACATCTATCACCGTGCTTTCCTGTGGGATACTTTGTTACGAACATTAAGCACTGTATGTTGCAGAAAAAGTATCTTTCTTATTTTTATATTGAATCCTGTGTAGTTTTAAGGAATATTTATAGTCAATAAATATTCATTTAAATAATTAGAATAGAGGTACAGTATATGCAAACCATATTTTTGAACAGAATTGCCAGTTGTCTATATTGTTAGACAATACTTAGTAGGTGGTGAACTGCATTTAAAAACAAAATGTTTTTATAAAACATTTAAATGTTCCTATGGTAAATGGAAAACCACACGTAATTCAGCTTCACCTTATATTTTTGATCTCACATTTCAAAGACTGTGTATGCGCTGTGGCATGGAACCCATTTTACATAATTTCAGATCTGGTAGTTGTTAATTCCTTGTATACATATGGAAAATAATAACTCTGCAGTAGAAATTGTTTCGAGTTAAGCGCTGTCAATACTGTGAGGGATGGGGTGATTATAAAGTAAATTAACAATACTTTTAAATGTGCATTCACTTATCTTTTCAATTAAAACCTTGTTAAACAATTGCACCGACAGTAATGGTAGCTCTGCAAAGCACTGATCAAGACAGCTTTCCAGTAATTTTTACCCTTCAAACAATTAATCAAGCAGACATTTTCCTCATCATTAAATTATCTAGTTAATATATTACAACTCAATAGATTTGCATATCTGTATTTTTTTTTCATACACAGCTTTTCTAAAGAAGGCATTTTTTTGTGAAAGTGCTTAATCTTTCTTGTTTAGGGTGACCATTAAAACCATTCTAATTCTTTTTTTCTGTTTAATTAAAATGTATTATAAATATAATTATGTCTTGGATTGCCTTTTAACATTAGTTTTATTAGTATTCATTGTGCTACATTATGACACTTAAGTAAATTTGAATGTGACAGACTCATAAACAGAATGTATAAAAATTAATGCTCAAAGTTTTAAATATATTTAATGTTGTTCAAGGATAATGCACGTCAAATTATGCTTTCTGTTATTTGTGTACAACTGCATCTCTTAAAGATTATTTAGCTTAATAGACTGGGTGGGGCAGTTATCTGGTGGTTTAAGAAGAGTGGCATTCAAACGCATAACTCACTATGAAGTTTAACTTGATTACTCTGTTAATGTCATCTTGGTTTAAGGGGGTCCTGGAGCAATAGATATTTCTGTCAAAATGACACGTAAAGTACTCTTTTCTAGAGAAATCTTGTTTATTCTTTATTGTACCACTACAGAAAATATTTACAAGCAACGAAACAAAAATGAATCCTTTTTAAAACAGATTTTTGTAATCCAAATTCCTGTGTTTTCTAAGTCCTCATATAATGCTAAAAGAGACAGACAGGCTAACTTGTTTGTTGAAGTCGAGCTGTTTTGATAAAGAGCATCAGCAAGGCCCACCCTGTATGCAGTATAAAAACATACAGATATAAATTGTAAGGAAAGGCAAAATAGTTTGGATCTCTGAGATTTAGGTCTTGAATTATATGACTCAAATAAACCTAATGCTAATGTATCTGCAGTGGATGCAATGTTGTCTTTCTAAGACCTTGAAGTACTGTACATGACTCCTAGTAAAACCGGTGTCTCTTGAAAGAGCTAAGCTATACACTGTATGTTCAGACAACTGTGTCTTTGTTGCACTGAAGAAAAAAATTTGAAGGCCGCATAAGAAAATAAGAGAAGTTCCAAAAGACTGGAGGCCATCCAGCCCATCATCTCTGTTGTTTTTAGATAGATGATTTCCAATGCCATGTTTTAAATCAGTACACAGTTAAATGTGTTCGTCCTGCATGTTCTTTACAAGATGCTCACATGTGCAAAACCTGAAGTTGCTTAGTAATAACAAAGGATAGCAAAAAACTGGTTTCACTGCCAATCCTAGTTTCACACACAGTTTTAGAACAGCAAGCTGATCATGTTGTTGACATGAGTTCTGTATATCATTGTTTTGGGATGAAAAAAAACTTGATTTGATATACAATATTGAATACTCTATTTGAATTTATATTCCTTTAAACAGTTCCAAGGATTTAGTGTGATATTTCAATACTTTTTTGAAGGATCTCTAACAGTCTGTCGCCTCAACAGTTTTAAATAAGCAGAATGTAAGTGGCCATTGGAAGATTGTTAACGTCTCTCTCAACAGAAATAGGTTAATTGCTTAAGCTGTTTAAAAAGAGGTCTGATGGATTGACTACTATGTGCTATTTCCTCTCCTGAAGCCACTACAGTCTAATAATGGATTTAGCAAGCATTAAGGTTTCTACTGGGGTCTGGACAGTGTCAGGTTCTTTCAGTTTTCTTTGTAAAGCTTCAAACAAGAACACAAACAATAGAATGCATTTAAAGCATTTACAGTAGTAGTCTCTTATTATGCATTTTGAATTTTGAAAGTCTTCTATTTAAAAAAACATCCTAGTTTTAGTCTTTTCACAAAACATTCATGAAGGGCAGACTTATAAAGACCCCTGTAAACCTTTCTAAAATATAAATACAAAAGGAGAACAATTGACTTATGCAAACCAAAGTGCAACAGAAGACTTTTTGCTGGCTTTTTAATGGAAACTCATGTCATCAACATCCTCTCGTTATAAAACTGCATATATTTCAGGCACTCTGTTAGATTTAGGAGATTCTATTTTAATAATCTCCTACAGCATTTTAGAATGATTGTTGAAATTTATTTTTATATAAATTTAGAATCACTTAGTATTTCATTTTTTATATACCCACTTGTAATTAACACCAATTGTGTCTTTACATCTCAGCGGACAGCAACAGGCCCTGCACCTACGGTACACAAGGACACTGAGGAATTCCAAGCAGACTCATCCTACATGCCCACCAATCAAAATGTTAATCTGCTGATACATCACTGGTTCCACAGCAACATACAGGAGATGCAGCACCGACTGGAGGAGAGGACTATTCCTCTCACCGTGAGCCTGCAGATGACATGGCAGAGGTGCTCAGGCAGTACCAGCTGGTGACATGACCTGGGCTCAGGGTCATGACTCCTGCATTGGGCAGCTTAATCTAAACCGTTACTGGTTTAGCCAGCTGGGAAACAGCAATCTGTTATTCAATCTCATGTCAAACTACCTCAAAAACACTTCAGTAAGGTGGAGGTCAGGCAACCGGGGAGAACAGGCATCACTTTTAACATGCAAGGTATTTTTAATTTATTAAAATAATTCAAAGTTTGGTCTTTCTGTGCATTAGAGGCCAATATTACATTGTTAAAAAACTCTTCCTTACAGGACAGTATATCTATGATCATCTCCACCATCATCTTACCCTCTTCCTCAGCCAGGAAATTCAGTGTTGCTCTTGACCTCTCTTGATCCCTTCACATTTCTACTCAGGTTTCTCCTATACCTTCTTTCTCAGCAATATCCACAGGACGTCACCTCCTCACTAACTCTAGTTCAGGCCCTGATCTCTCTGGCTGGCCTCCTGGCCAGTGCTGTCAACCTTCTCCAACTCAATCAGAATTCTGCTGCTGGCCTGGTCTTGCCTGTACCTCATCCCTCCATTGGCTCCCTCTCCTGCACACACCCATTTAAAAACACTTGTTTTTACCTAGCACTGTCTTTAACTGCTCTCCTCCCGGTACGTTGTCCCTACATCTCGACCTCTCTGCTTCTCCTCCCCCAGACTGCCTGTTGTCCCACACCCATGACCAGTTCATTCTGCTCCCTGCCTCCACAGTGGAGGAATGATCTAATCAAAAAAGCTCTTTCCCTGACCACTTTCCTGGGTCTCTGCAAGAGTAACTCTATATACAGCACCTGTGATCTCCTCACACTACTGTGAGCTTTTACCACCAACTGGTGCTGCACTCTGCTCAGTGACATTCCTTCTGTCCTGTAATCAGGGACTCCTTACCTGCATGTTGTTTTCTACATGTTGGACATTTTTTTCACTCTGTGCTGAACAGGTGTTGCACTTCTAATTTTGCATTTTGTAGCACGTATTTTATAGGATCATAATAAAGTGCATATGACAGCAGCCACCCTGAAAGTTGCAACTGTTCAGCAATAACAGGTCTGTGATGCCCTGGTGTTTCTCGGAAAGAGTAGGGGTGTTACCCGGGAGTCCTGGCCAAATTTCCCATTGGCCTTTACTAATCATAGTAATCATGGCCTCCTAATAATCCCAATCTATGAACTGGCTTCATCACTCTGATCTCCTCCCCACTGAGAGCTGGTTGTGGGGAGCGTACTGGCACACTATGGCTGACGTCGCATCATCCACGTAGGGCTGTACATTGGTGGTGGTGGAGGGGAGTCCTCATTGCTTGTAAAGTGCTTTGAGTGGAGTGTCCAGAAAAACACTATAGGTGTAAGGAACTATTAACTATTGTTATTTTTAACATCTTCAAATTATTTATTTTTGTATGTACTCTATTGTATTATATATTTTGTAAGTTGCCTTTAATAATTGTGTATGGTTAAGGTTGACATGTTGGTTACTTACATCATTTTTAAAAAACTTTTCAAATACACAGTAAACCAAACATTTTATTTAGGCCTGTGGTGGGTTAACATATTTTAATTCCTGACATAATTCATTATTTCCATTGACTTTTCTTTGATCCTATTTACAAATATCCAATAAAATGTGCTAATATCATTTTCTCACAAATCCTCACCTTTACAAATTATGAGGTGAAATACTTTACAACAGCTATCATTCTTAAAAAGAATATGTTGCATGTATTAGACTATGAAAATCTGTAATAGCCTTATGATGTAGCTTATTATGGTTTTTGCAGTACTACATGACGAATGATAATAACAATAAACAGCTTACCTTGATCAACAATAAATCGTAACTTCTGAATAGTGGACAAGTTTCCACTCACTCTGTAAATTCCGTCTGCATCCAGACCTGATCAAACATAAAAAAGAGGTGATTTGGAAAGAGAATATATTCTAATGTCGATTAACGTGTCTAGATGATGGCATTACTACTTAACAGATATTAAAAACATTCCTATCAAAGGGCGTCTTTGAATCGCACGAAAACTAAAAAACGCTTGATGAAATTTTGCAAAGCACATTAAACTGGCATTTTATTTATCTAAGCAGTCAGAATTTACAGACGGTATTTTGACATCATCTTAAAATCACCCATGCAAGGGATTCCCCTGTGAAACCTCCTGATATCTTAAAATGCCCTTTGTCTAACAACCAGCAAGGTTTTATTTTATTTTATTACTGGACCAAATTTACTTCTACTCATTAATTAAAAGGATGGTTTCACGGGTGTATGCAATTTAAATAGTACATCTCTCAAAGTAGTTTGATTCACATCATTAACTGTGTTGGAATCATGACTTGACATTGGGCCTAGTACTGTGGTTGGAGTAAGACTCCATATGGATCTATTCCAATATGACGGAAGTAGAAGATGTTGAGAAAATTGCTCCGATTATAGTGTTCACGTGCCATTGGGTCTCTGTTCCAAGAACATGGAAAACTTGAGCCAAACCAGACCAATAAGAATTGGCGGACATGACCATCTTTTCATTGACCACATGGTCCTCCTTAGATTGGAAGCATTTTATTATAATGGAAATTAACTACGGCTCTGTATAATTTGACTGAGAAATGTTTTTCCTGGTTCTTGTTTTTATAAATAAAATTAGAAGAGGGAAGACCATTGAGTTGCACTGTGGTTTTACAGGAAATCTGTAAAGAATATTTGTAAGTGCCGATACATAATTGCTTCCACAGGAATAAAAAGAGAAAGCAATAAACGGTGCTCACTAAGAGACTCCCATGGAACAGTTGTTCCTATATACTGTGAAACAGTTGGTCTAATGTTAGTCATTTCACTTTAATAGTGCAACACACAACCCACCACTACATGCTAACTACCGTAACAGAAGAGTATACAGGCCTATACTTTACTGTGTTGTGAAAAACATCTTACTTCCGTAGCTTTCCTAAATGAATAATGAAAATAGACTCAGAAAACGTATTATGGACAGGTTTTGTCAAAATGATGTTCTTGATCCTTAGACTAGTTTGACAAATTTAGCAATATAACTGGGTGACACAGGTTTTTACATATTGCTTGATAGATGGAGTAGAAGCTGATGATCCGAACAGAGTTTAATACAGTATGTACTGTAGCTTCTGAGTCTAAAGCCCAGTGCAGCCATTGGCAAGATACACTCAGTGGAGTTGAGAATGATAGTTTACTTCCATCAAACTGGCTGCACAGCAGAGAACATAACTGACATGGAGGGCTGACTTTGGAGAATACTAGGCACTAAGCTTAAAAGAAAAGCAATACATTTACCTTTACTGTATCTATTTTGTTTTTTTCTTTTAATGGAATACATTTTATGATTTAATTAAGAGAAGAATGCATGAATATGGAAAATAGAATGTCTGAATGTATCCCCATTTTTAGAAGTGCTGTTTCTGGGCTGATCTTGAAAAATGCAGGCACGACATCGTGGTATGGATTTCTATGTAAGGAGATATTGCAGAAACACACCCCTGACTCATCACAGGATCAGTGGGGAAAGCCTTTTCAGTCTTTTTGCAGAACACTTGCAAATACTTCATAAAATCACAAGAAATTAATTTCCTTTTGAAAAAAACCTTTCCACATGATGTGTCTTCCTGTCATCTGTGTACCATGAGTTAGTGAGCTATTTATAGTTTTTAATACTTCTGATCCATTTGAAGTGCATCCAACAATGTTCAGGTGATTCTGATTAAGAAAATTGTAGATTACAGGATGTCTCTGATAAGAACAGTTAAAAAGTCTTTTGAAGAAAATAAGAGGGAGCCTTTTCCCATTAAATATTCAGTTTGATTACTGATATACTCAGTAGCTGATTGCTGACCTACTTGAATTTAATTAAATTGATTCTCATGTTTCACTAGTTTAATAAACAGGATAGTTTTCGCATGCTGGGTCTTAAAACTTTCAACAATTCCTGCTCATTGGAAGATGTACATCAACAGTTCTGCTGCTATTTTTGTGCTATTTACAGTGTAGGTAGTCAAAGTATTGCATTGGTTACAGTTGTTTAATAGACTGTGGATTAGTTTTTATTCAAAACGTTGAGGTTACAATACAAAATACAAATAGTATACACATAATACAAAATGCTGTTTGTTTCTTTTACTATTTCACACCACTAAAGTTGTACCATTTTTTAAAATATGCAGGATAACTAGTGCTGGAAAATTTTTCATTAGCATGAAAACAGTGGAAATTGAGAAAGTTGCAAAGGAATATGATAGGTTTTCTGCAGTAACTCACTGATACAGAAGAGCCAGTTATTAAACAGTTAAATGAGTACCAGGAGGCAGTGTAGTACTGATATATTGAAACCTTGACTTTAGGAGCAAAGCTGTTTCCCCTTAGATGAAACCTGCAGGTATGCTGGAATAACACAACTGTACAGTATACAGTAGCTGGCAGCTACTCCATTGCTCTATTGGTGTATATGGAGAACACTGCCTTGAGTGCATTACAGCTTCCTGTAGGGAGTAAGTTTCATAATCTTTTTCCAAAGACACACAAGCTAAAACAGCCACCATGCAACATGCAAATCTCATGCAGATCCAAGGTCCAGAAGTGAGTATTTTTCTCTTAATTATGTTTATATTGCAACTTTTGTAGTCTTTGCACATGGCAGTATAACGATTTGTCTTTGTGTCACTTCTTTTTGGAATCCTTTGGGCTATTGCTGATTTGAAAACTAACTAAGTGGTACAGGTTTTATTTTTAGCTTGTTCATTTAATATTATCATCATCAGTGGTGAAGTCATACGTACGTTTGAAACTCAAGATGTCCTGACACATATCTCCATAAGACTTTCATTACAATCAAAGCGCCTCCTCAAGTCAAATCAAAGTCTGCTCAGTCAGCAACAGCAAACCCTTAAATTGCAAACACAAAGTGCTTGCCAGACTCATCTAACAGACCTCAGCTAGATAATACCAACACAAACAATTGGTTATTCACCATTATTCAAAAACTCAAAAGGGGAAGTCCTCAAAGTTTAATTTCAAGAAAAAATATGTTGGGTGAAGGGAATTCCAAAATTCCCCAAAATACTTCAGTTGTAATAATCTGCTAATAAAGTATCCAGCAGAGCTAAAAACATATTAGCAAGTTTTACTATGGGAAATGTAACTTACTGTACAGTGTTGTCTTTTTTAAAATTTATCTTAGTATTTTAAATATAAAATGCACCCATTCATCATTTTTTGTCACAGTGCATTGATTATTATGATTATTTATAATATCGTGCCAATAAAATGAAATTAAAATCTTACTTGCTTTCAAGAGACTCACATGAAACACAGACCTGTTTTTTTTTTGTTTTGTTTTTTTTTTGCTTTTTAAAAAGGAAATGGTCAAGATTATGACTTCAGGAGCACATTTTTCAGGTCACAGTAATTTTAACCAAAGATAACTAATTGTTCTAAGCAAACATTCTACTAAAACCACAAAAGGAATCCATTACACAAACATATAATTCATACTCATTTTTAGTGGGTTGTAAACAGTTTGGAATGGACACAAAATGGGACAGGAATCAAAGTGAACATTTTGTAATGAAAAAGTGTTTGCCTCAAAAGGTCAGTCCCTCTGCCTGGCAAACTATGTGGAAAAGCCTGGGAAAATGCTGATCACACATGCAGTGAGGGAATTTTAAAGCCAACAACCTCAACGCTTTTTTAAACAGACATCGGAACCTGGAACTGGATCCTGTCAAACAAAAAAATGTCAACAGAGAAAAAAGAAAGAAAAACATCTGCTGAAAGATTAAACTGGGAAAGATAAGGGTTCATTAAGAATAGATTTTCTCCAGAAAGTACCAGGTATCTTGCCAAAACCGTAATGTAGACCCAAAAGCAAGGACTGTTACTAACTCTATGATGTTACTAAGTCTATTATTTTAAAATATGCTCCTGTCTCTCTTGATTGTCTATCTCTTGAATTAACTTAATCCAGCTCCTTCTGATGGAGAATGTACTACTCAGTTTCGGCTATGGGACCAGGATATTTAAATAATACTTTATTCGTCTTGATATTACACACAATTTCATCTGCAGAGAGTTCCACTCCTCCCAAGCAACGTTTTTTTGAAAATTCCAGGTATCTCACACAATTTTAAAGAGCTATGTCCTGTTTGTCTGCATACAATCAGTACACCCACAACACTTTCACAATGCATTCCACTAGCTGGATGCTGTTGTACATAATGTTGTGGGAGTTGGGCTGATTCTTGGCTACAAGTTTAGTTAACTTCCTGCACAGTTCTGGGCCACACTACACAGGCTGTTATCGCCCTCTGTAGCATGATCCAAAAATGCACAACAGACAACAAGTCAGGAGATGAGAATTCAGGGAAAGTTTCACCAAAACAAAGATGAAGTTTACAGTGACCACCACCATGAAGCTTCTGTGTCAGATGGATGATCACAGCTCAGTGCCCAATAGCAATGGCACAGTATCCTAGATGGCAAACAGGTCTTCCCTTCATATGCCGTAGTTATCCCAACCTACACCATGATAGATCCACCACCTTAGTCTAGAAATCCTTAACAATGTTGTATTTAGATAGTAGCCCATTTTTGATACCATACGCCAGAGAAGACATAGTCAATGCTGACATATTTGAGAATTTACTCATGCTCAGCTGTTTAGTGAAGCCATCACAGCTAACGATTATAACTATGGAGTAAAATGGTCTGTATGTTGAGAACCTAGGCTTATTTTTGCATTGAGACTTGATGATAATACCAAATATAGACATTATTTTTTTTGTTGTTGTTTAACGAGACCCTTAAACCATCTTCAAAGTTAAGGAAATTCAAATTTTCCAATGTGCACCAGCATAACAGCAAAAACTCTCTTCAGATTCTTTACCGTTATAGTAATTTAAAGCCTTGATTTTAAATCAGTGTGACCAACAGGGTACCAGTCAAGCAAGGATCTCATATCAATTTTCAGCATCTACACTAAGTCACCATGTGTATTTCCTATGCATGTATTATAGCACAGTCGTAGCTGTTCTAAGGAATATTGGAAGAAATGAGAAATCCAAGATGGGATTGTGGAATACTGATGTTGGTACAGAGCTTTAGATGAATATATCGTTACCATGTGTCACAATGAGAATGTTGCAATACCAGATTTGTTTTGCTTGTTTTTTTCTGTGGTACTGAAAATTATGATGTCAGTTTCTTTCATTGCCTCCACCAAGGCAGTGCTCCCAGACTTGACTGTACTGTATGTATATATAAGACGAGAAGAAAAGTTACATATGAGACCTATATAAGTGACTCTAAACACGTCATCTACCATTCTGATCCAGCCACAAGGCATGCGTGACTTCATCACATGGCTGATGTCGTGGAATGTAGAGAACAAAATAAATGCATTGTGCAAATGCTTCAAAGGCTTCATATGAGAAATACAGCTTTTGTTAAAAATGTGACTTCATGGCACATTACTTCATAACATGAGGGCTAAATTTGTGAAAGTCTATGTGCTGTCTTTTTTCTTAATCTTCAAACCAGTAACAGACATTAACCCTGTATGGTAAACTGTTAGCAGTAAAACCTACTGCAATCAATACTTCACTGTAGGCCTAGATTGAAATAAAACTTCAACCTTCTAGTCAAAAACTGCAAGTCAATTAATGACTGATCTCCAGTAACAGAGAAGTCCCACATGACAAAGAGCATATAATTCACAACCGGCCAGCAGGTCAAAGGTTTTGATCTATTTTTGCAGAGAATTACTGAAAAGTATATGAAAAAAATATGCTGTACAATAAAATGTATAATATGCATATGTGAATATCTGCATGGTGAAATAAATATTATCTTTGTACAGAAGCAAAAGAATTGTAATAAAATTAATAATAAATGAAGGTCAGGAAATCAAAATTATACTCTATATGTTAGTAAAGTGAAATATTAGGAGAAATAATAATTAGATTTTATTAAGAGCAAAGATCGGTGACATGCAGATTAATATTAAAGAAGACTGACATTTTTTTCTTATTCAATTAAGTTATAACTTAAACTTTATTTAAATTGTCGTTTTTTTGCCGCGTTCTAAAGAAAAAAATCAGCCCTGATATTATCTAAGCGACACCTCTAGTGTTTTTATTCCGACAAAGAAAAAGGCCAGACATAAACCTTTTCAAAGCTGCTAACTATTCAGCAGCACAACCAGTTTGTCCAAACTGCTCTCATCTTTCTTGAGTCAAGAACACTGAACGCCGTATAAGCAATCCTGTATTGCCACCATAAAAAATCAAATCGAATGCTCTATAATACCATTGCTTTCCTTTTTTGTTAAAAAACCCTATACAGTAATTTGCTTGTCACGACTCGTCCCTTCTCCCGTAACCGCCCTGACATTCCCACGCGTACTAGATTCCACACACGCTCATCCAGGAACTAATTATCCAAACACGTCTCTCTCTTCAATATCTAAACACTCTTCACCGGATTACCTACGCTTACTATGGAGAAGTTCTCCGCAGTTTTCGTTGGTACGCGATACTATTCTCGACCTGGTTTTCCTAGTTTCGACTCCGGTCTTGCCTAACGACTTGGATTTGGAATACTGGATTTACTTTTGTTAGTACTACCTTCCTCACGGCTTCGCACAGGCGTCCAGCAATTCACCCCTTTCAGAAACCCCAACATTTCTGCATGAAGCTGATGATTAAAAGTCACTTTGGAAAAGCTAATTTCTGTCGTCTGCATACTCAGGTTGATGCCAAGTGCAAATATATAAAGTTTAAAACTGTATTGAAATACAGGGTCTATTATTAGCAGTATATACAACTCACATTCTATATTTAAAGTGTTGAGAGAGAGAAGTAATCTTACTAGTGTAAAAAAAAAATATTTATGCTGCAATAAATGAACACAATGAGGAAAAATGAAGTTTGCAATCTATAATCTACTGTATAAGAATGTGTTGCACATTAAGTTTAATAAAGTTATCATAGGACTTCTTTCACACTGTGGAAAGGAAGTCAGTCTGCTCCTTATTTACAGTACATGCTCTGTCAGAAGCATCTTTGCTACAGTGTCAACACCAGATCAGTTGGGATAAGGTTCAGATGAAGAAGACCGTACTAGAATGTACAGCATAAGCATGTGGCTTACCTCGTTTTTCCACTGCTTCAACACATTGCTTAACAAATGTTGGCGTTGTCGTTCCTTCACGCTCACATAATGTAATCAAATGGCAGCCAAAGACTTGATCTAAATAAGAAAATAACAACACAATACATCTTTAAGTCCACATACATTCATACAGTGGGAAGTGACACTTGGCGATTAGTCTGCTGTATCCATGCATTTTTAATCTGGTTCTCCTGGTCAGGGTCATGGCAGAGAATGTTCATGCAGTTCTTAATAGAAACTGAGTTCAGCCTATTAAATACAACTCAGGACTCTGCAGGATTATGCTCATCTCCCATAACACACACACAGAGGTTGTCAAAGTGGCTCTGCTCATGTCATCCCCAGTGCTCAACACTAGGTGATTGTATACTGGATTGTGAAGCTTGTAATAGTGGGACACCTTAGTGATGATCCGTATTTCTGATAGAAGAAGGTATCATTCATGAATCTTTGTAATCCAGTTTCTGCACTGTTAAATGTCTACCATGATTTTCTGATGAGATAAGGGTTTATTTCATTCACACTGCAAGGAGCTTTTGATGACAAATAATCATTGTGTGCTCTTAACCAATGAATAAGGTGTAGTAGTGTAAATGCACAATGAATGGAAATATTTTATATTGCAACTACCATGGAAGGAAAAGTTCCACTGTATTTCTTTGGCTTTTTAGCTATTTAATGTCTTTTGAGATACATATCCATTCCAAGGGTTTGATATCTCCTGCCATCCAGCTGTTTTTTAACCTCCAAATGTATTAGAAAGGCCCATATTGTTTGAAACCTGTGCTCTTGCTGTCACACAGCAAGATAAGCATTGTACCTGGACAGTTGACATGGCTTAACGTGTCTAGAAATCAAACTCCTGGTTAAACATCTCAAATCCAATATTCCTGGAAATATACCTATTTTCGGAATAATCCAGATCTTCAGAAAAAAACATTGCTCTTCATATTCAGAATATGTATCCTTCTATGTATACAGCATATTCTGAATATATTCTGAAGAACATTACGTATCAATGGGCCCATGTACTGTACATGCATGGTTCATGCACTCTTCATTAACACTTGGTTAGCACTCTGCACAAACACTACTGTACAGTCAATGTCTGTACCTCACCTTCTTAATATAGTAATTCTAAGTTTAAGTTCATGTAATACTGTACTGTATATGGTGTAGAATGTACATCGTCTTCAAAAATAAAAAAGACTGTTGATATCTCCTTTTATGGAGTGGATATGTAAAAATCCAGCTTTCAAAAAATGTGGAGCCATTAGACTTCTGTGTCAGCATCTAAAACCACTCAATGACTTAGGAATGTCACAAGTACTGTGTCAAAAATGGATTGCAGGCAAACTGGGATCATTTCATTTGAATGAACACTTTAAACTGGATATACAGTATATAACCTATTAATGTTTAAGGATCAATTTAGGCTAGGAAAGTAATTATTATTGAAATAGCTAATATATATTTAATGGTTACCATGTACCGTACATGTGAAATTTCCAACACATTTAGTGCTGGTTTTCATATTAATAGTATTTTTTCCCCATATCCCTAGGGCTCCAGGTCTTGCGCATTTAATTTGTTTTCTACTTGGTGTGACATGATTTCTTACAGGTCACTTGTGCATTCTTCCCAGGACTGTAACCACTCTTACCAGAGTTCTAAAATGTAGTTTTGTTCATTCTTTAAATGAGGCTCTTTAAAATATTTACAAAATTTTACAATTGTCAAGGGTCTGCTGAATTTCAGCTTTATTTTCCTTTAGAACAGATAAACATTCCTTTGACAATAAATAAATAAAGCTCATACCATACGAACCTTTTCTATCCTGACAAGGGCAGGTTGTGGGAATGCTCCTACTGTAGCTAAACGTCTGTGCTGACCTTTCTGTCCAGCTGTGAATTCATTCAGCCCCTCACAACAATCTGTTTCTCTACGAAGGCTATGTACGTCCTCAGGCCAGACCCACTTTCACTGTTCTAGGCGCTTTTATGTGATATTTAGTACATATACTGCTTTATTCTTTTAAACACATTACAATACAATATTAATGATAAAATCTCAGTTCCGCTCTAGGAAATATAAAAGAAGTACAGTAACTACAAATCACAGTTGAGAATAAAAAACAAACAAACATTATTTTTTATAAATAAGAGTCATAACATTTCATACTACACAGTGGAAGACAGACCCAGACTTGTCAAATGTTAATATGGTTTTATCTAGTCTATAAGTCAATTGAAATTAAATGGTGCTTTGTATTTGGACCTACAGACCCATTCTTGCTCCAGAGTCCCACTGGGAACCTGAACCCACAACCCTGAGGTCCATAGGCTAGGGCTGTAATCACTATGCTAACATCGCTCTGCAGAACATCTTAGGATCTTCAAAAGCCACTGTCTTCTGTTAGTGTTGTGAAGAATCTGTGCTGCTGAAAGAAGTAACCCAATACTTTTCTGGGCTTTCCTGGGCTCACAGGAATGTCCTATGCTGACAGGTTAAAGAACTCACTCTTTAAGTGGATAATAGTGAAGACTAAGAGGAGAACTGATACATGTAATCATAATTCTCCAGGGCAGCGATAAAGTCAGCCCAGTTGACTTCTTTAAAACTGTCAGTGAAACACAAAAGTACGTGGAAGTCTTTTTAAAGCTTGGGACACGCACTCCTTTACACAAAGGGTTTCTGGTGTATGAAACAAGCTTCACAGCTGCGTTGTCAAAGCTGACAGCCACTCTCATTTCAAGAAACAGATGGATGAGATCCTCAGATCAATTAGCTGCTGGCAACCTACCAAACTGGATAAGCTGAATGGCTTTCATTTGTAACCCTTCTTATGTTCTTACAGAAACTCAAAATAAAAATAATAGGTATTATTTAAAATAAATTCATCTCAGAGAAAATGTGCCACAGAATTCAAAGTGCAGAAAATAAAACTAAAATTCTTCTCCTGAGCTTTCAGCCCAAACTAGACTCAGATGTACAGTATTAATGTGGTGCAAGACATTGCAAAGAAAGGAGGTTCATCAATGACAGACCCACTAAAGGTCTGGAGATAATACCTGCTCATATCATTTGATTTAAACGCTAAAGCTAATTAATTCTGCATGACACAAGAACATTAAAATGTGATTATTCTTTTGCTTTCACACATTTAAACACATGACTGCAGAACTGCCATCTACAGTATAACTTATCTTAATTGGACCTAAAATGCAATTCCCCATTTCATGCATTGTGGTCAAAGTTCCACTGAGAGAGCCCACCTACCCACCTGATAGGAAATACTACATTTGGTCCCCCATTGGATAGCAGCTTTCCTTCAATCCCTACGTTTTCTCTCTGTAATATTTACTGTACAAATTCCCAAGTCACGTTGTTTATCCTTTAATAATAACATCTAATGATTAATCACAAACTTGCTCTTTTTTTACAAGCATTTTCCCATAGACCTAAGACTGCTAAGTGTTGTGCATCAAAAAAAAGCAAACGCATTCTATTGCCATATATGCACTTAATCTTTTTTACTCTTTTTCTCAGCTGTTATCAATTTAAACCCAGTGAAAACTCCCACACTCAGTCCATTTGAACAGTCAATTTTAGTATCTCGGGGCATCTGTAGTTATTCTGCATCAGCCACAGAAGCAGAACTAACAAGTTAAGCTCTAACTGTAAGTCTGCATTGGGCTGGTAAAGCATACATCAAACAGAGACAGTTAGTCAATATTGGGGTATGGAAAATCAACAAGCTTTTTAAAGGAGCAGCTTATATTTTAATATTGGGCTGACAGTGGCATTCCTATGCCCGCACAATCTCCTGGGGCAAAGATTGTCATTTCTCATTTGTAGCATTAGGGAAAAGGGGCATTAAAAAAACTGTCAGCAAGGCACCTTTGCATGTGGAATATATCCCTCTGTTTTGGATTCAATGTGACTCTTGGAGGAAATACAGAAAATGCCACAGCAAATGATACCTCCTCAAGCAGCATGAATATATTTGCGGTAACCTAAATTTAATCCAAAATTTAATAATTCGATATGAATCACAGACACTGAGCATGCACAATTCATGGGTGGGGAAAATGATTTCTTAGTAATTCTGAAATGCAACTAAGAAAATAATAACTACCATGAGTTTATAATAATCCCTAATTTGTTGTATTTATTGCACTTTCCTTCCAAAAGCATTTTAGATATAAAGGGACCCCCCTTCCTCACCACTGAAGTGCAGCACCCAGACACAACAACATCAGCCGCACCACAATTCAGATCAGGTGGAGACGTTAGAAAGGGCTTTACTCAGTGAATTAAGAGAGAACTTTAGTTTAATTAGTCCTGAACGTCAAGACTATCACACCTAGTAAGATGTTTTAATAAACAATTAGTCAGATTCTCAGTTTAAAATCTCATCCAAAGACCAGTGTCCCCTATTACCGTATAGGGGCATTGTTGATGAAATTCTGCTCCTGAGGCAAGAGTACTCCCTACTGGTCCACCAACACCACATACAATAGGTCAGGCTGCAAAGTGATAATATCACTGTCATTTACATAAAATGGTCATTTAGAGTACATTCAACTTTTCAAAATAAAGTGCACTGTACAGCAAAATGTACCTGACAAAATATCCACACTTGCTGGCAATCTTCAAGATTAGTTTTCATAAATATGTGCAATAAACAGCTTTTAGTTCAATAAAGCAATGTTTGGGATGTTTTATTTTCTTTTGCTCAACAGCTTCAATATTTAATTGCCAGTTATTAGAATACCATGAAAAAAACATTCTTACAGGAAATGTCAAAGAAAATTAGGTCAGTACAGTAAAACTGTAAAAAAATCCATACATGCCTAGAATATCTGTACAAGATCTGTAGATCTTGAATGAGCACACTGGTATAGCATGATGTTGTACTGTACGTAATACTTATGCAGGCACCTAGTCCAGATTAATTTTAAAATAAAACTGTCCAAGTCTAATCTTGAGTGTTCACAAGATATTTGTTGGGGAAGATATTGTGATTTTCTTACAACAGAATACTACTACTGAGAAATAGCTAGACTTTGTACAAGCTCTGCAACGATGCAAGATGTATTTTAAAAGGAGCTTCTATATCCTCTGTATTATTTTCTTGCTAATGTCATTTATACTTCTTTTCACCTAATGTACCAATATTGGTGGTTAACACACAGCCTTCAATGTAATATCGTCTGTGATATCATGCCAAATTGTTTCTTACAGCTGTAATTCATTATAGATGGGCAATATGACTGATGTGGTCATAATATTAATGTAAAACTGACACAAAGATGACATGCATCATTTCAGATTTCATTTTAAAATACACTTTTCACTGGCATGTCACTAGCAGCTATATATAAATGTCATTTGACATCAGCTATAAACTATTATGAACCATATTTGATAGTAGGTTTTCACTGTTATCTACTATACATTTATCTATATATCGTTTTCATGCCATAAGCGCTTAGGATATCCATATTTGCATACTGGAGGATGTGAGATTCAGTGTGCCACAGTTCTGGAAAAGATCTGTTTACTTTCCCATCTTTGTTAACCTCTTTTAGATACAGTAGAAGTCGAAAGAATATTCAAGAGATATTAATCTCCAAAGATTTTGAAAACATGAAAAAAGTGTCTTGTCCATGTGTACGTAAATATCAGAAATAGATTTCTTACAAGGACATGATTGTAAGAAAATGGATTGCTATGGTGGAGTCATGCATTGCACTGTCTCTTTTGTTTGATTGTTTAATTGTACAGTGCCATGAAAGGCACTATGCAGTGTATACTGCACCAAATGGGTAGGGTATGCTGGATAGCCTTCTCTCATTTGCTTTTCTTATATTCTAAATTAAGTCTTTTACTATTATATTAAACCATGCAGCTATGACGATACTTCGTGAATTATACACTTGCTCATTGATTGACTTGCATATTTACTGTACTTCCACTGTTTAAGTTTCTCAGTTGCATTATATTCATATCATCAAAGAAATGATAAATATATAGGAGAGGGTTGTTTAGCTTCTACACAAAGTATTTTAGAAATCAACTCTAATTAGCTCAACTTTTACAGTATTTACAGTTTAGAAAAAGAGGAGAAAGGCAAAGCAATGTAGCGTGTTCTTGCAGATTCCTGTTGATAATCATGTGAAAAGTTTTATTGCAGACAGAATATAAAATTGCATCCCATGGATGCCCAGAGCCACAGAGCTGTGGACAGAGCACACATGGATTTCTTGCAGCTGCGTCCACTGAACATTGTGCAAGCAGCAGGCAGCTGCAGAGGTGGTTACATGAAGTTCAGTGCTGTCCATCAGTCAATGCAGATGGAGTCTGTGCAGAAAATGGCACACAGGTGTTTGGAAATCTCACCCCCACACGCACATACAAGTCAGCAATAATTAAAGTGCTCAACACACTCCACACAGAGGTCCTAGAAACAGACTACAGTACATAAAGCAGTTGCCATGAGGGTAGGTTCTAAATATGGTTTCTCTTTAAAACATTATAACTAGAAGTACCATGTAATCAAACCCATTCCATCTACAGTGTTTTTTAATCAATGATTCACCATTAACTAAGGCAAGCTCAATAATCTTTAGCTATATATGAAATGAGAAATTGAGGATTCTGTCACTTAAGTATTACTGGAAAAATCCCGAGATCCACAGGTGAAACTTGTATTCCAGTCACCCAGACACATCTGAGATTTCAGTGATGAGAAGGCTCACCTTGGCTAAAAGCAGAACTTATGGATAAGGGTGAGGCAAGGTACAGGGCAGCAGAAACAAACCCATTATCTCCCTAGCTCTGGTATTCTGGTTTTTAATCATTCGCTAAACACAACATACTAGTTTTTTTTTTATTTGCTTTCACTGAACATCATTTCAGGAAACTTTTGTAGACTGAACTGGGGGAGACCTACAGTACCAAATGTAGCTGACATGAGTCATGAATCTGATAAACTTTCACCACACCATGCCAGTTGCCACCAAACTACCCATACATGGTAGAATTTCTATTCTTATTATTTAAAACCACAGCATGTACTGTAAATAAGTTCTTGATGAAAAAGGTTAACTATTCTGTTGTTTTTCAACCAGGGATATACTGATACTGGATACTTTCTGGTCATTACTTTAATATCATTTGTGTTTCCAACAGGCACAGATAATCAACACAGGGGTCTGCAGCACAGCCTAAAAGAATGGGGTTTTATGGGAGAAGTAATTTCTTTGGAGTCTCAGTGGTGTGATAGGGGATCTTGTTAAATATGTCCTCAACTGATATTTAACCCACTCCAAAAGAAAAACAGTTTTACTCTATAAAACAATTGCTACACAGCACCCTTGTTGTGTCACAGTTATAACAGCATATTGTTCTTGAATGAATACATTAAAATAATATTCAGAAATACTGCTGCATGTTTTGGGAAAAAGGAATTCATTTTAAAAACAAGTATTTGTGGTTTCAAGTTTCAAATAAAAATGATAGATCTTTAAATCTAAATGTTCTTAAAATAAGAGTATTCATTTGTGGTTTACCTCCATCTGAAAAAATGCAGTGTGTAATTTTTTTAAAACATAACATTTATATCTAGACACAATGCATATGTATTCCGCATATTCTTATTTTCTTAGTGATGTTAATAGTAATAACATTAATACAAATATTAGATGTTATTAAAAAGCTTTTTGGCAATCACAGCTGTATGCAATGATATTGCTAGAACTTAAGCAAAAAAAACATTATTTCTTATTAGCATTTTCACCTATGACTAATTAACTCTTTCAGCCAGGGATGAATGGGTTGATAGTCACAGATCAGCCAATGATCTCCAACTGTACAATACATACAGTACTCATTACTCAGTACTCAGTATTCATTGTAGAAAGGAAAATATTTCCTCAATTCTTTTCAACAAATAGGTCTTAACGGTGCTTGTGGAAATGCTATTTGGAGAAGAGAAGGGACTCTACTACAAATTAAGTACTGTAGGTGCAATACTATTTGTAAAGAGTAGGAATAAGACACATAAACATTGCTCTTGTGTGCACAGCATGACATTTTTGGACAAACTTGGGACAATACAAACCAGACAGAAGAAGAAATGCTTGGGGTTTTCAAAGTGTCCCTAGTTGGTAAGTAAACATTAAAACTGCTCCAACAAAGAGAATCTTACCCTTGATAATGCCCTTCTCCTGCAGTGTTTTCATTGAAGGTCTCCTGGAAATGAACTTCTTCAGACGGTTTTTCACTCCGTTTTTATCAGCACTATCTGAAGCACTGTAGTTCAGCTTGAAAACTGAAAAAAATAAAAATAATAAAAGCAGTCACATTTAAAGAAATAGAAATCAAAACACAAATGATGTTAACCTAAGTAAAACACACCTGAAGAGATTCCACAGCCAGATCAATGTACCCTTTTCTCTTTCTTTTCAATTTCAATTTTGTTGCTTAAAATAAACATATTTTTTTGCAAGGATCATAAACTTCTGCAGCCCTTCATTTACATCAGCCGACACACACCATCTCTGTGGTAATAATATTTCTCTTTCAAATCTAAAATGCAATACATTAAAACAGATAACCACAGAGAAAATCGCCAGTTATATTGGGGATTATTAATTGTTAATTCCAAAATAAGTATTATATTGTGTTTTTTAACCTCCTCTGTACACCATAACGTGGTCCCTGTGAGGTTTCAATAGAAAAGAATGGTCAAACGAATTAAGGCTTGCCTGAGGCCTTGAGACGTTATTTTAGATTTACTGCCTAGAAAATAAATTCTAACTGACAATGCTAATTTGAAATTGATTGATACAATCTTCATGATCCGTGTTGTGCTGAGGTCTTTTGTATAACTCAGTGGAAAAGAGTGACTACTAATAGTCTTTCAGCTGTGTTTCTTCCAAATGTAAATGAAATGGATTGCAACTAAACAAAGTATGCTAGGAACCGCCAAGCACAGCAATAGTAATCATAATGGTTAATTAGAAATTGTTAGGTCAAAAATATTAAAGGAAGGTAAGGCAAACTGTAATTTCCATGCATGCTTAAGAAATGGTTCTGTGTTTCATTGCACATGATATGTAATTAAGAAATTTAAATTCAGTGTACCATAAAAAAGTCTTTGTTGTATCTTGTGTTGTACCATTGACTATTACACATAGGCTACACACAGTTACAGGGTACAACTATAAAGACAATGGTGTTGATCTGTACTGCTTTTTATATTACTAGTAATATTTTATTTTTAACGGATCAATCTAAAAATTGTCTACTTTTTAAAATGGATTTTAACATTTGTGGTAACATTCTTTACAAACTGTTTAATTAATTTGATCATTACACAGTAGTTATTGGCACCTTATAAATGCTTAAATGTTTAAATGCTTTTATGTAATCTCAAGACCAAATAGTTTTTATGATTTATTTTAAATGAATTTATTCAATGTATACGATTATCAAACGTGACTTACAATACATTCAAAACAATACATGAACTAAAATTTTAACGCTGTAAAAACTTAAGTTGTGCTGGTATCTTTTGACACCTGAGGATCAAGTTCACAGACGTATGGTTAACTGAAGATCACTTAAATACAGTACAATGTCAAAAAAGCAATGGTCCAATATATTCATAGGCTGCTCAGCATGAATTTCACACATTTTGCATTATTTATTTCTATTTTATACATAGCTAATTTTGAATTACCAATTATTTCTTTATGGGCCTGTCATATCTAGTTCTTTAGGAGATCATGATTTGAATCAGCTGGCTTTCAAGTAAGGGTGTCTCAGCCCAGTTGAGTGGGGGATCTAGTAGGTTCTCCCTCAACATCAAGCAGTGTGATAGCTTTCTATTCAATATAAAAAGATACACAAGTAGAAATGGCCCCAATCCCCCCAAAAAACTAAAGAATGAATGAATAGGTTTCTCTTAAGTAGGGTGCAGAAATACTGTAATCAGTTCAAATAACAGACAGAAATTTGAAAATAAAAACCTAGCCTTTTAGAAAGTTGTGGGTGAACTTCTTGAACCCATACAACTAGTGTATGCAGAAAATGTGAAGAGTGTACTGCATTCATTCAGTCTTCTCTTAATTACACTACTGCTAAAACATCCCCATGGAGACAAAAGAGGCAACGAAGACTGATAAAATGGTTTGCTAGGGACTGCTAACACTTTGGAAATATGCTGCTGTAATGCAACATTAGCTTTCCTCAGTAAGGTTTATAAATTGTGTGGCTGTTTTACACGGCAATGGTAAATTAACTAAAGAATAAACATACTGTAGCAGGTACAGCAAGCCAGATTGAAATAGACAAGTCTTTGTTTATAACATACAATATTCATAATGAGATCAAGAGGCACTTCTGTGAGTGCAGGAAACAAGCTACCTGGCTATGTTGTTGAAGCTAATACCCTGGCTTCTTCTAAGAAACAGCTGGATGCTACTAACTACCATATGGGCTAAACATACCGCTTGACCTTCTCCAATTTTTTATACCTGAAAATCTTTCTGGGAACCAACAGGTGGATCAACGTTTTGTATTTTTGCATCCTTAATATTTAAAAATCTGTCAGGTAAATCATATTAATTTCCACATATTTAGACAAGTAAGTTACCCTGGAAAAAATGTAGTCTCTAGGCAATTAAATAAACATTTGCAGCATTTGAGTTTGTTTGCAACTGAACTCTGAATTGGATCACCGTAAACATATTATACATGATGTCTAATATCATTTTATCAAGTAATAAAATAAAGCTGATCCTGTACTACACAATAGAAAAGAGGAATTCCAGATACAGTCCTCTGATGCACCTTAGCCTGAAAAGGAATAAGTATTTTTTAAATTATTGCAAGCTCTGTCATTCCTGACAGGAGAGTTAGTGCCAACTGAACAAGAGGTGCATCTCTCTCTGATGTCTGGGCTCTCTTTTTGTCAACACAGAGCCAGGGGATGTTACCTGTCACTAGTCCATAAGGAGTTAATTTTGTCTCTGTTTTCATTTTCAGGCCTCTTTAAATAAAGGCAAGCAGATCAAGCATGTAACTACTTTTTTTGCCTGAGGATACTAGATTTTTGCAGGCAAATTAAAGTTAAATATTTTAGATAAACATTGCAAAATCAATATCTTCAAACAAACTTTAACTATACAGTATGTTAAATATTTAGCTGTGTATGTGAAATATTTGCCAATGAAAAACAAAAATATCTATGACAAAATAAGCAATAGTAAATGATGGATAAAACATTATTATTTTTAAAGCATCACTGGTTAGATGACTAATACATTATATCAATTCATACACCTTCTATCCCATACTGTCACTTGTTCCTTAATTATTATGATTTTTATAAATGTATTTAGAATATCTACTCTTTTTTCTGTGAATGAACGAACACCTTGAATGAATAAAATAACTGAACTCTTTGAGCTAAGTTCTCTGATAACCACAAACTGAAACTTTTGAGACAGTAACTTCAGTAAAAGAGTTGTCTTCCACCAGGTTTTTTTTCCAGGCTTACTTTTTAAATTATGATCATATTTCTGGTTGAAAATCTTCAATATGCATGTCCATGTTTTTTTTTCCTCCTATAAAAATGTCATTAAATTTATATAAAGTGAAAATTTAAAAAGAGGGAAAAGATCCAAGGGGCTTTCATCTATTTACTCTCCATTTTATACAGTATGTACAGTACGTGATGTGTCAATTTAGAGTACTGTTTTAGAGTACTGTTTACCAAACCAGGTGCCCTTGAAAGTCTAAATAGGCCTGTTAACCCAGCTTCTTGTTTAGTTTTTTAGTTGTTCATGTGACATGGGAATGAGACATTTATGCCAGGGATGCCATACTTGCTAGTTTTGAGATCCCTTGAGCTTTTGTGGCATATAAAGCTCAGAGACCAGAGAACAGGCATGTACAGTACATGTCCAGTAGCAGCCAAACATGTTACTAGCCTGTGACTTTCACAGTAGACCCCTTGTTGTTCAGCCCTATTGATGACAGTTGTTCATCACCAAAACAAATTTACCTGTAGTACATCTGTTCAATAAAATGGCAGCTCGCGTGCTACAAATACTTAAACCTGATGATAACTTTGTAAATTTGTAGCACTTAGAAGTGGTTTCATCTGACACTTGTGTTTTTATTTAATTTAAGTTATTTTTAGAAATGTTCAATAACATCTTTAATAATATAATTCTGATCAGAAAAAGGTTGTTCTAGAAGTTCTTATCTATAAATGAGTAACAACAGTGAATTGTAATATTTTACATTTTTAATTGTAATTACTGCTTAAATATAAAAAATGTATTTTTATATCATTTTTTTTATTTTTTTGTTCTGGAACAAAATGTGGAGCCATGTGTATAGTCTCTTTTATCTGTGGAAAATAAGACTTCAACCTGGTATCTGTGGTCAATGAGCAGCACAGATAAAATAATGCTAAAAATTAATGAGAGATGGAGATCAGGCCCTTAATTCCATGTTATTCTAATAAGACAGGGATTAGTGGGTGTTTACATCATCAGATTTGGAAAAATCAGTTACTGTTGGGATTATTATTATTTGGGAAAATCAGTTACTGTTGAGTATTATTAATTAGACAAATTAATAAAGATGAATCTGTAAAAAATAATAGACACTGCTTACATAATATAAAGTCACATACGTTAAACTATGATAACTGTTGTCCTTTTATTTGTTTAAATATATAGTAAGAGAAGAAAAGGGAGAGGGGTGGTTCCTTTTATGATCGTATAGAATTTAATGCTGTTTTTAATAGGTTCTAACTATGATGGGTTTTACACATCTCTTTTTCAGCAGCAACACCAACAGTGACTGCAAATTTCTTCCAATAGCTGTTATTTTTCTTTCAATTTATAAACTCATGATCCCATGAGTTAAGCAATAATTAATTACCACCAGGGTGCACAGGAGTGCTTTTAACGTATGTTGTAAGCATTGGCTTTTTTGAAGAACTATCAATTAAAGAGTTTCTGAACTGGACCAATGCGTATTGACAGTGCGTGTCAGGGTAAAGTACTATTGATTGCTTCACATCATGTGTATGGCAAAACCAATTTATTTCAAGTGCCTCCACTTAGTTGAAATACATTTTAATAGTCTTTGGCCTTGTTTTAACACTTGAATCTATTCCCCAGCACGAATTGTAATTAAAGGTAACCTTGTTAAAAAACGGAAAGAAAAAATACTTTGTATGTGAAAGCTTTACACTGTTCATACAATCCAAGCAAGCCTGCAGTTTCTTCAGTAACAACATTTTTCATT